TAGGAAGGAGGCTCTGGCAAACCACTTCTGAAACAATCGCCTTGAAAACTGCAAGGACTCGTCCAAGCAGTCACTGCAGAGTCGGTAACGACTGAGCGCAGATTAAAAAGAAAAAGAAAAAGCAAGTGCCCCACAATTATGTGATCACCATTTGCAATATCCTCTGCCAGTTTCCCCAGTCAATGGGGAAGCTGGCAGGGAAGGTTGCAAGCAGCGGGTACGGAGGGGACTGAAACCCTTCGGTAGGCTGCAGGAATGTTTGAGAGCTGAAATCCTTCAGCAGGCAGCTCATTCGCTCTATCAGCTTAACAACCTGGGAGATCACTTAAGGACCACAACTGGGAGTGCCCGGACTATGGTCATTGAGCGAAGCAGTCACATGGGTGTCTTGCTTAATGACCGCTTTGCTCAATGATTGAGATTCCAGTCCCAATTGCGATTGTTACGCGAGGACTGATTTTTAAAGTATAATTCAGTATTTTGGTACCACTAATTTATGTAAGTAGCCTTATATTTTATTATTAGAGATAGAATAATAAAGATAAAAGAAGCAATTCTGTCTAATACTCTTCATGTTCACCTAATTGCTATTGGTAAAGTAAGATAAAACTCTGCAAGTCCTTTCTAAATATCAGTCTCTTAGCTTTGATTCATTGATTATGTGCCATCATGTTGTTTTCAACTCCTAATGACCACTTAGATTTTCTCCATGACAGTCTATCCCTAACCTGGTCTTTCAGGTCTTCTAATGGTGCACTCATTGCCACTGTAACTGAGTCCATCCACCTTGCAGCTGATCATCCTCTTCTCTTTTCTTCTACCTTTCCCAGAATTAGAGCCTTTTCCAGAGAACTAGGTCTTTGCATAATTTGAACCTGGCCATTTGTGCCTTGAGTGAGAACTTTGGGTTTGTTCAATGATCCATTGGTTTGTTTTCTTGGCTATGGTATTCTCAGGAGTCTTCTCCAACACCAAAGTTCAAAGGCATCAATACTCTTCCTATCCTGCTTCTTCAAAGTCCAACATTTGTTTCCATAGTGTGTCACAGGGAATACCACGGCTTGCACAATTCTAATCTTTGTAAGTTTACAGACATCATGACATTTGAATATCTTTTCCAAGGCCTTCATGGCTGCTCTACCAAATGCTAGTCTGTGAAATATTTCTTGGCTGCGTGTTCCTTTACTGTTGGCAGTTGATCCTAAAAGGCAGAAGCTCTCCACCACTTCCATATCTTCACTGCCAGTTCTAAAATTGGTTGTTCTACCTGTTGACATTAGTTTGGTCTTCTTTATATTTAATTTAGTCACATTTTTTCACTGCGCTCTTTGACTTTTAGTACTAGGGCTTGCAGATCCTTTGCATTTTTGGCTATCAGGTAGTATAATTAGCATAGCATAAGTTATTGTTGTTTCTTCCTTCAGTTTTAAAACCACGTTCATATTTTTCCAATTCAATTTTCCTTAATATATATTCAGCATATAGATTGAATAAATAAGGGGAGAGTATACAGTTTTGTCGCACTCTTCTGCCAACCTGGAGCCAGTCTGTTTTGGCATGTTCTGCCTGTATTGTGGCAGTTTCTCATGAGAACAATGAGATGTTCTGGGATTCCCATTTTTCTGAGCACATTCCACAGCTTGACATAATCAACACAATCAAAGGCCTTTCAATAATCAATAAAGCACGTAATGATTTATTTATGGTATTCTTTGGCTTTCTCAATTATTCAGCATGCATCAGCAATAATGTCTTGTATTCCTCTGCCTTTTCTAAAGGCAGATTTGACATCTGGCATCTCCTTTTCCATGTAGAGCTCTAAGTTGTATTGGATGATCCTAAGCATTATTTTGCTAGCATGTGAAATTAAGGATATTGTATGATAATTTGCACACACTATTAAGTTTCCTTGTTTTGGTATTGGAATATAGATAAATCTCTTCTAATCAGTTGGCCACTATGTCATTCTCCAGATTTGTTTGCATAGCTTGGTTAGAATCTTTAATGATTCTTCTTCTGTTGGTTTTAGCTTTACAGATGTTATTTCTTACATGATCATATACTTTTATTGCATAAATTTAATAATGCCTGTACAGTGAGTGACAAATTGGGATACTTTTAATTATTATTTATCTATGAGGAGATTTGTATTTGCAGGAGACAGATGCATATAATGTAAGGAATTAAGTACAGTGCATGTATTCCTAATATATGTATCAAGCTGTCAGATATGAAAATACAGTATATATTACATTTCAGGTACAAATAATAATTAAAAAATCTTTAAATGGATATATTGCTGAACATCTGTCCATGTATTTTCTTTATTTGCAGGATCCCACTGATCTGGGATGGGAGCCTTATGTCAAGACATGGCTGGAAACCATTTCTGAAATAATACCAGAAAATAGTATTGAATATCTTGAAAGTTTGTTTCACTCAAGTATAAAGCTAGGGTTAGCTTTTCTAAATAAACATAAGAAAATGCAAGCATTTCCTGTACATCAGATGGGAATAGTTGTGAACATTTGCAGAATTATTGGTTCATTTATTCATGTAATGAACCTAGGTCAAGGATTACAATGCAGTAAGTAAACTTTTAAAAATGTTTATGGCATAATTCTATATATGCTAAGTACCTTGGAATATGTTTGATTTTGAACTCCTAGAATTCTCAGTAATGGACATGGTGGCTGGGAAATTCTTGAAGTCCACACATCTGGAGAATGTCCTCCAAGCAGGGGAAGATTGAATCAGAAACCATAATTGGTAATTTAAATAAGGATAGTTATCCTATTAGGAAAATTCACTGACCACACTTGATAATATAACCTAACGTACATGCGTTAGTAAAGGAATGGTTCACATCTCAACCATCATCAATTTCTATGGCATTGTTCAATAGAAAATTCCAGAGTAGTATCTTTTTTCCAGCTAACAGTGACTATGAGGGCAGTCACAGAAGGCTCAGAAGGAAGCCATGAGCAAAAAAGGTTGAGAACCCTTAATTTACATGGAAGAAGAAAAAATCATAGATAACAATAGATAAGTATAGATAATAATACATACATACACTTATGCACACACTTTTAAAATGTATTCATTAGCTCTCTTTAAATATAATTTGGGTGTGAGGGAAGGGGGAATTTTTCTCATTTGGGAAAGAGAGCTTTTCAAGGAGCCCAAGTAGCTAAAGTAATAGAGGAGGAGACAGGAAGTTTTCCTTTTGTGAATGTCCCTCCTATCACCTTAAGACTGAAACCAATTTAATGAACTTGCTGTTACTTATGTATCCTTGTTTTGATTAAAGTAACTTAGAGATGAGATTCTACTGCAAAAAGCAGGAAATGTTAGTCATACTTCGCTACTATTCAGCAGGTAGCATCAATCAATATCTCTTCCAGATATCTAATTGCTTTGGGCTGAATAAACCTGTTGTATGTCTTATGTTTCATTTTCCTGAATATGTAATGGGAGATGTATTGTGCCAAAAATATGAACAAAATAATCATATAGTAAAGTCTTTTCTATCCTGTATAAATCCTGATATACTGTATTAGGAAAATGATATCCTGTTCAAGTACAGTAATATATGTAGTATATACAAATAATACTGAAAGAATATACTGCAGATGTATCTACAATTCATGACTTAATTTCTAAATTATCAGCAAAGCTTTGATGTTTCACAATGATTACTCTTTGAAGCAGATTAGGATCAAAGTAAAATGTTCGTATTTACTGTAATCAAAATATAAAATCAATTATATAGGGGAATATAATTGAACTGTAGTATGTATTCAGCTATACCTTGCAAATGTATAATTACAGACATTATATTAAAGGTAAGAAAAGACGACAAAGTAGCACAGTGAGTTTCTCAAACACCATGAGTGATTCTCCACAATTTTTAAATGAATTCAGTTCATTCAGTGGAAGGGTCCCATCAATAATGAAGAAAAGGTAGGTGAACTGTGAGAACAGAAGCACATAAACATATTCCTGTTGAATCAGGTCAGTGGCTCTTCTAGTTTAGCATGCTGTGTCACAGTGATCAGCTAGATGCATTCAGGAAGCTCACAAATATGGGTGGGAGAACAATGGTCCTTTTCCACATTTGCTATCTGGCATCTGATATTTACAGAACATTGCCCATGATTGAGAAGATAGTAACCAACTATCAAGACTAGGACCCACTGATCCTCCACAAATTTGCCCAGTTTTCTTTTAAACTATCTCAGTCGTTGGCCAATTTGTTGGCCAATGTTCTAAATCTCTCTGCATCTAGTTTTAATGTCTCACCCAATATTCTAGCATGATGAAAGAGGGGGAAATCATTCCATGCATGACTTTCTGTATTTCGATTATCTTCTGGCATCCCTGCTTCCTCTCCAAACTAAAACCCCTAAATCCTACCCTTATATATTCTTGCTTAATTATTTGAGGTTTTCCCTTTTTTGTACCCATTCAGGTTTTATTCTTTTTTAAAACATAGTGCTATCCTGCTAATTTCCTGCCAAAAAGACACCAGTTAACTAAGCTGAACAACCTCAATAAAATCACGATAAAATACTAAACTATCATAACAGACCAAATAATAACAGCAACAACAATAATTTATTGAACTTGTATGCTGTCTGACTCTCAATCACTCTGGGCAGTTCACAACAATCAAACAAATTACAATAAAATCAGTAAACCATAAAAGATAAAAGATGGCAAGTGCAATAAAGTATGGGATCTCAATCTCCCTTGCCAAAAGCCTGGGTGAAGAGCCAGGTCATTCATAAATAATGAAATATTCAGGACCTTAAAAATGTATAACTCACATTATAAAAATGCAGTATCCTTTTTGAGGTTTAGCAACAAAGTTGTATTAAAATAACTTCTTTACTCATTAATTTCAGGGGTGATGCAACATGGTTTTGGGAAAAGGAGCCTAATAAAGTGTTCATATTATTAGGGAAAATTTTCATATTTGCATTTACTTGGGCTATTGGAGGAATTTTAAAACGAGAGGAAGAACATGAAGGTGAAACTCTCATTGGTATAAACACTAGCCAAGATGAACTTGCACGTGTAACACGTGACTTCAATTACCTTGTTCGTGATTTATTTGAAAGAAAACCACCTGCTAGTAAGTTTTAAACTTCTACTGCTTTCACAGGATAGTTATTGTATACATTCTAATTGCGTTAACTCAATAAATACTCATATTAAGTAACAAATTAGTGGAAATGGAAAGAGCCAAAGATGTAATTTTATATTTTCAATGAAGCTGAACTATATAGTTTTGTTTCCAAAACTATCTGAAAAATCTAAATATGTGTATGAATGTATGTAAGTAGCATCTATATGATTGTAGATTCTGAATACAGGAGACATTCCAATTGAATCAACTAGCTGAGAAGGAGGTGGAATGCAGAACAATGGCAAAGTCAGATGTTTCATATGGGAGGACCTGGGATTCAATTTCCTTTTACATGAAGATATTAATAGAGCAGGGGAAAATCTTTATGTGAGGGGCCTGGGAATTTGCTGCTGGTCAGCCCAGACTAATTTAGCTAATTCAGTATTACTACAATTATGAATGGACATATAAGAAGTCTACCAATTACTGACAGAACTGTTGATCAATATAAATGTAATCAGATTTTTTTTTTAAAAGAATATTTTTGAAACATGGTTGCAAATGTAGAGTTATGAATTTACTGTTCTTTATATGCTTTTTGCCTAAAAGAATGCTAAGCTGAGGACATTCCTTTCTGCCTTTCTTCCCAGGCCCACAGGCACAGCACACATGCTCTTAGATTCTTCTCCTGCTAGGATATAGCTAGCTAGATGCTAAGCTTTTGTTAGGCAGAGTGTAGATATAACCACATTTCATGCCAAAAATACACACCAGCGTTAGAGAGATGTAAAGAATGTAATGTCCTTATCTCGTTCTCCAAAGAAATCCAGCCAGAAGGTATAAAACATCTGGCTGTTTATTGAGAAAAATAAAACTACATAAAATACAAGTTTCATGCAAAACAGAAAAAAATCACTTCTCATTTATGTGGCATCCAAGACTTATCCAATACACAAGTTTAACAAAGTCTCTAGCC